CTTTATTTTTAAATCTTAGATTCTTACTGATTACAAATTTTCGAATTACGTTTGTGAAAAAAATTTATTTAACTTTTTATTCTATGTGGCAAAATATAGACAAATCATTAAACCACATCATTGTTTGAGAAAACAACATGCCACATCATGTGGCATAAAATCCTGTCATGTCATCATTTAACAGAGTATTTGACAGAATGACTAAGGGATGTATAAACATGATAGAAAAGTCAAACTTTAGGCACGAAGTTGATACGAAAAATACTTGATGTAGTAAAGTTTGAATTTCAAGAAACTTCCGGGTAGTGAAGTGAAATTTACCCATATTAAACATAATAATATGTAACAAGTCCCATTTCTTCAAATGTTGATTTTGGAAGGTTTCATCCTTGATCAAGTTCCCCTTTTGTTGAAGGGGTTGACTACCTAGTTGTGAATCTCCCTCCTCGTGAAAGGACGACAAATTGTTGTTGCAATGGTCGGTGCAAAGTCCTACTGGTTGTATCTACTCTCTTCCATTGTTGTTAAGCTTGTCCAAAATTCGTTGAGGACCATGACTGAGGGAGCGAATTCGAGTGTCAAGGTTATCAAGAAACTCAGATTTATAGGCATATCTTACAAATAGATAGATAAAAATGGGAGATAAAAGAGCAAAAGCTCTAGCCACTATCAACAACATTTAAGGAATCTCATCCTACTAACTAATTACTAAACCAGCTTAACCTATCTTAACACACCAAGCAAAGTCATAGACAACATGTAAGTCTATGAAACATTAATAAAATAAAATAAAATAAAATAAAATAGCATAAAAAAACATAATAATAGTTAACAATGGCGCTATACAATATTGTGCATCCTGAAGAACGCGGGAACATGTTCTACTCTTCCATTCAGCTCCGCAAGTATAGCAAAACTGATGTCCGCATCTACAAAGACAATGCAAACATGAGACAAACAACAAGGATTGGTACAGAGTCATGAAAATGTAGCAGCATCCAGACCTTTCTTAAGTTTCCCGGTAGGAGAAAAAAACGTGCCCCCCTCGCCAATGTAATGTATTGTCAATTCTCAAAGTTTCCCGGTAAGAGAAAAAAAAAAAAAGGTGCAACCAAAGAAGTAAGTTTACTAGCAATGTTATGTAACAGTGAAATCTTACGTGTGGGGCTTCTAAGGTGATCCAGTTAAACCTTTGTACCTTGCTTTTAATGTGTTTCCTACTTGGTTTTGATCGGTTTTGGGTTCCAATTAGGATTTCAGGGATTCCTTTTACAACAACTTGGGAATTTAAATTGGCAATAGCAGCGTTAAGTGTTCTCGGCGAGGGTTGAGATAAACCAATCAAGAGAAAACTTAACGAATTGCGAGTTTTGGGTCTTAACTTGATCCCTTTTCTCACACAAGAACTCATAGGCACTTCACCCAATTATCTTGTTTTCATAAGTATCTATTTTAACTGTCATTTTCTTGTTCATTCATCCCTATAAAACATTGCTAAGTTTATGCCAACGGGGTCTAGCCTAGTGGAAAAGAGTCTTGACTTGCAGACGAGTGGTCTCAAGTACAGTGTGTGTGAGAAAAACCTCACTCCCCCAATATCGCTTGTATCAACGAAAAAACAAATTGCTTTAAGTTTATAAATAATGATAAAAAGGGACTAAAGCAGGACAGAAGAAACCAAAAAGATTAATCAAATTGGAGTGGAGGAGAGTAAAGCACCTGCAAGTGACGTGGCAGCAACCACTATCAAGTTCAACCATATGTTTGCACTTGGAACACTGGCGCCATAGTTTCTTCATTGCAAGCGACTTTAGCAATTGCTCTTCTGCGAGGGAATAGGTTTCTGATCATTGGTAATCATAGCAGTTCATATCATAGTGCCAAGGAACCTTGCAATTGATACAAAATAACTGATGGCATTTCATGCACTTCCTGCCTCCCACGCTAGCAAAAGAACTCTTGGTATGTTCCAATCCAAGACCTCCTTTTTGGACATCAACGCAGAACACCTCGGAAATGCGCAGTACACCTTCTCCGTAGCAGGAATAGAACATTCCTTGATTCGTTGGATCATAATGTTGGCAAGTTTAGGTGACAAGAATTTTTCACAGGTTTCAATATTCACTTCACACTTACAGCGTTTATGAGGGCATTGAGCCACGATCCCGTTTTGCTAATTTACTTCCACATGACGTTTCATACAAGACAAGCAATATTTGTGATAGCAAGTACCAATAGGAAACATTTGAGCAATAGGAGTTTCTTTTAAGCAAATCAAACAAGTCTCCTTCAGACTCATGGTTTTGCTAGTTCCGGCAGGGTAGGTGATCCGAGAAGCTATAGCCCCCAATAAACACAAGAGTTACTTGATTGACTATATAATGCCGCTATCTAGCTGCTTCCAGGAAGTGTGTTTGTAACCTGTAATCTGTAAAATGTCAACCGCCTCTATCAATTGCATTGAACAAAAGGTGAAGGATGTGCCACTAAGCATGGTATTTTTTTTTTTTTCTAATGAAATGTGAACTACAATAATGAAGATAAGAATTGACTGAACAATATTTGAATCCTTTGTAAGTCTTCAAGCATAAACAACTAAAAACACTAACCCGTGCAGCCGTGTGAACAACACAAAAGTCTTCTCCCTTTTACAAGCCCTTGATCGCACTTTCTCTAAATGGGGTTTGAGTACTTTATGCGTGTAACTTCTTGCAAAGACAAGGACCCTTCTTTTTATACCTAAGTGAATTCTTCCCATCAACAAATTCAATAAAGACTCTACTTCATCACCAAGCAATATAAATTGGATATTAATATCAATTATAATAGAATTAGGACACCACCGATTAGCTTATTAACCCTAACAGTTTTGCTCTGTCACACAAACAAACTGAACTAACAATGGTTGGAAGCTAGGAATCAGTCTAATTAATAGGTATATGTTACAGACGCACAGCCCTTTGGTGTTCACGAGTAAAATAGTATAGCCGTGCGGCTATTCGTGAAAAATAGAAAAAACTGAGTCTCGCCGTGCGGCTATACTATTTTTAATACAAAAAAAGGACCCCACCGATTAGCCGCCACTTGACAAAACAAAGTGAAATCTCCCGGTTACTTTTCCGACATTACCAAACCTGGGAAATGAATCTTTCATTTCCTATTCTTTGGGAAATGACATGGGAAGTGATTTTCCCTCAAATCCATTCTGTGAACCAAACGGGCCTTATTGTAGTTACTAGCCCCTTGAAGATGATAGCTTATGGCATTGGCCTTGATCTACTGATCAGATGATAGTTCATGTTTTTATTGCTTTTATAGTCATGCTGTTTTGTTTGGCTCCAGTGCGTTATAGAATAATTAGTCTCTCGCCATGGCAATCTTTTTTTTTTTTTTTTGGTCAATGGCAATCTTTTAAGTCGTGGAAAGCCTGCGTGAAAAAAAAAAAAAAAAAAAAAAAAAAAGCTTCTCGTGCAATGAGACTAGTAAGGTTCATAACGGGAGTCTGTCTTTATACAATGACAAGTTCAACTGTTCGACTTGTTAAACTATCATGTGAAGGTTCTTGGCCCTTGGTGATTGACACCTAATCAGAATTCTAATAAACTTGAAGATATCTAAAAAGTAATCAGTTTTCTTTCTTTTTATTTCATCTATAATAGTAAGCGAATAAATACTATGGCTCTTTTACAAACCTAGAGCATTCAATATTTGAAGCACATGTAACAACATAGCAGCTTTTATACTACTTCTTAAACATTGCGGCCATAATCGGTATGAAAGGAAATTCCCAGTAGATGAATGAACTTTTGAAATTTTTTTAAACCCCCTCTCTTGATGTTGGGGTCGAAAGCCATAATAAGAACCCGA